CTTTTGAACCTTGACCGACGCTTCTATTTGTTACGCGTAAATCGCGGAGAACGCTATCTTGTGTTTATAAGATCTTTGGTACACACTGAAAATGAGTTACACAGGTTAATATCATGTGTGATTTACAATACTGGTAGGTTTCATGTATGTGATAATGGTAAATTGCACAAATTATATTACGTTTACTGTTGAGTTACCTTATTTATAGGCCTAATAAAATATCTGGTGATGTAAAGTTAATAATAATAATAATAATAACAATAACAATAATAATAATAATAATAATAATAATAATAATAATAATAATAATAATAATAATAATAATAATAATAATAATAATAATAATAATAATAGTGTAGTTTTATATAGCGCACGTATCCATCTAATGTAAGATGCTCAGGGCGCTTGATATGTGGACTAGGAACTCGACCGATGATTTTCTTCGCCCTTAAGGGTCCCTTCGTGTCTGTGCTACCCGGTAAACCGGTAACTCTCGACGTTGTAACATGTGATGACAAGCCTGAAATATTGATTTATGTATTATTATTATTATTATTATTATTATTATTATTATTATTATTATTAATATTATTATTATTATTATTTCATTATTATTATCATTATCATTAATGCTTGCGGTACACCACGTAGATCGTTCTGAAAAGAACTGTTGTTGTTGGTTGAGAATATACGTTTCGATTGAGTTGCTTCAATCGTCTTCAGGAGAATAATATCTGCAGAAATCCCAAAACTGTGACATACTTATATGTTGTGGTTGGTGAGACTTGCTGGTTATTGGTTGAAAACTAAACAACTGCTGAGACTACATGTGAAAAAGCTAATACTACGCCATGCAAACCTTCAAACAATATCATTATCAGTATTATTTGCCCATATAATAGTAACTTCTGTACCGCATAGGCAATACAAATATTAATATTGTACAGTTTTCTTTTAAAAATGTGTAGGCCTATGAGGGGTGTGACTATTTGGTCAATATAAATTTCTAAGTAGGCTATAGGTTTGGTCTCGAATCGAGGTACAAAACAATTTATTTCAGTTCAGTATTTATCGACTTGCTCCGTTGTTGGAAACGAAAGTCGAAAATAGTTTTAATTACTTTTATTCAATTAGTATCAACTCTCAACTTCTATCCAATCAGTGAAAAGATAATACATTTTACTGAGCATGCGCGGAGGTCATGTAAACAGGAAGTGCACGTGTGTGAAATCAAAGAGTATAAATAGAACAAGAGAGCCAACAACGCTCATTAGGAGCGTAAAAAAACGATACGCTCTACGCAGCTAGTGTAGGACGCCAACTAACGCTTGTATATGTTTTATTACCCAGTACTGCAC